CAATTTGACTTTACTCAGTAAAGCTGAAGACGTTTATGACCCTTAGTCTACCTAGCCTATTCCCAGGTACACCTGAGTGAAATCTTATAAATATTGAACTGAATGTCCAAAAATATTCATAGGAGCTGTGTTCTAAAATAGCTCCTCTGAGATGTAGCCCTATCATCCATCTATAGTACATCTCACCATCTCCTAAATGACAAAATAAGAGTATATTCATAAAATGAATGAAATAAAATTACATGCATCAACATGGATGAATCTCAAACAATGTTGAGTGACAAATGCAAATCATATAATACAAATATTCAGTTTCATGTATATATAAAGAAAACCAGAAGAAACGAAATGATGTCTTGGGATACATGTATATATTTATAACTCCAAATAAAAATAAAGAGAATGATTAACATAAAATTCAGGTTAGTTACAAGATTGAGTGTTTTTTGTTTTTTGTTTTTTGTTTTTGGAAGGTGGAGAGAGAAGTCAGCAGTATGGGACACACAGGGTGCTTTAGTGAAACAGTGATGTTTTATTTCTTAGAGGGGATAGTGGGTACATGTGTGTTCACTTCATAATTATTTTATAAACTATACATTTATTACTTGTACTTTGGCTTATGATAGATTTCACAAGAAAAGCTTTTAAATAGAGTCAAGAGTCATATGAACAAAAGCAATAAAGTCCTAGGAATGCTATTTGTAAGAAATTTTAATAACATTTTTAAGGGAGGGACATACAATAAGAACATCAATAAGTGAAGATTTATACAGCATTACTGGTGGGAGGACCTATTATAAAAAGGCATCATTTGTCCCTCAGAGAAGTGAAGAATACAATGTTCTGGTGGAACATTTTTGAAGTTTTGTAAAATTTTTCCAAAGCTCTTCTGGACAAACAAATGGGGAGTGAGAGCCCAGAAAACTTTGCAAAAGAAGAATAATAAAAGAAAGGAACTTTTTCTGTCAACTCTTCAAACGTGTTATATGAGTAAGCAGAGAGATAACTGTCAGATCAGAGGCTGGGGCTCAGTGAAAGAGAACAGGGAACCACACAATACCTGTCAGCATATGTCAGCATAATCAAACATGCTAGGAAAATGGCATTTTAAATCACTGGGGAAAGTTCTGACCGGTCAATTAATTGTCCTAAGAAAACTGTAAAGAACTGTAGTTAGATTTCTACTTTGTGCAATGTATGAAATACATTCCAGATGGATTCAGGAGTTAGGTTTAAAAGGAAAGTGGGGATAAATCAAGTCGGAGAACATACAGATGACTATTCTTCCGATCTGGGGTGAGAAAGAGAATTTGCTCCAAACTGGAATCAGGAGGAGAACACGTTGCCTGAGTGCTAACAGCTTGATATTCACACTCACAGCCTCCCCTGGATAGACCCTTGTGAAAACCGGCATCTGCATTTCTCCATTCAGCTCACTTTGCCCCTCTTAAAGCTCCTCTAAATTCCTGACTCTTAGTAGGTGGTTTCACCCTCGCTTCTCAAGAAGGTGGAGCCCCAAGGACACCTCAACTCTCCTCTCCAAAGCAGCTGCACATTTTCTTGTCTTCTCTCACAAGGGGGAAGGTGCTTTCTCTCCACCCACCGAGATTCCTGCCTTTTTAGGACAGGACCACTCCAGTCATTTCCTGTCCTTTTTGCTCTTCTACCTCTTACTTCAGTTTTGGATTTTTCCTGGTCGCCTGTGATTCTCCCATAACATCTCCTGCCTTGGGGGGGGGGGGGCGCTGCTGTGGTCCATAGTCCATCCCTGCTCTTCCTGCATTCCTGCCCCTCACGGCCCAAATAGCTGACTTGAGTGGGCACAGTCCCTTACCTTTGGCTCTCTTCTCCGTCCACAGCAGGAGAGCTGAGAGGCCAGCTTTCCCCCTCAGTTACTCTCAGGTAGGTCACAGGTAACCTTGAAGACAGTACATTCAGTGGGCAAATTGAAGCTCACAGTTTCCATGACTATCCAGCCACATCCGTCACTGCAAACCAGTCCCTTCTAGATCCCTCTTTGACTGCTTCCATGACAGCCCCCATTCCTGGTCCAGAGGTTCCTCTCTGAACATGGTTTCTTAGTTTCCCAGTTTCTTTGTTTCCTTTTGATCGTTAAGATGTAGTTCCTCGGGGCGCCTGGGTGGCTCAGTCGTTAAGCGTCTGCCTTTGGCTCAGGTCATGATCCCAGGGTCCTGGAATCGAGCCCCGCATCGGGCTCCCTGCTCCACGGGAAGTCTGCTTCTCCCTCTCCCTCCCCCCTGCGTGTGCCCCCTCTCGCTGTGTCTCTCTCTGAAAAAAAAATAAATAAATTTTTTAAAAAAAAAAAGATGTAGTTCCTCTTGGCTTATTCCTGGACCTGCTTTTTTGGTTCCCCTCTAAGCTGTCACCCAACTGCTTATCTATCTAACTGCTATTCAGTGTTGCCATTTGGGTGTTCTACACACACCTCAAACGGAGCATCACAAAACCCACCAGCTTCCTTTCCAAAACTAACCCTCCTGTAAGGATACCGTCTGTGAAAAGCACTCTTACCCACTCCAGGTATCTAAAACAGATGAGCTGGGGTCTTCCTTGAACATCGCTTCCCTGTTTCACCCTTATCCATCATCAACAAATCACATTCACTTAACAGTTGCAAATCTCCTACACCGTCTGCTTCTCTTCTATACCACCATCACCACGTTGATGAATTACCATCCTTTCTCCCCAGGATGGCCTTGCTTCTTCCACTGTTGTCCTCACAAAGCAACCCACCACATTCCAACACCTACCCTCTGCACTTTTGCCCTAGGAACTTTTACTAATCCATAGACTTTTATCTTCCACTTAGTATCCTGAGTTGCCAGACTAGATTTTCTCTGCTTGTTATAATTCTCCTGATACTTTGTGCGCTTACCTCAAAGTCCTGATATTTGTGGCAAGGATGAATAGATAAGGGAAAGCAATTAGAGATCTGACAACTTAGAAGCTTATAGATACCTAAAAGATTCAAGAAGCAAGTGAAAAACTGATAAAAATATTTGTAACCTATGCGAAGAGAAAAGTGTATGTCTTTAAAAACAGATTATAATTACAAACTCATAAGACAACGATGGACAAAAATGAAGAGCCATAGAGGAAAATGAGAACAGGGTATAAAGAGCGTGTTCATAAAAGAATCAACGCAAATGGCCAATTAAACTGAAAAAAAAAATCTGCACTCTCCAGTTTTCTAAAAAGGATACACACACATACACTTAATTTTTTAAATAGGCAGTGTTGGCAAGGATTGGGAATAGTCATGTTCTTCTTTTGGGGAACACAGAATGGTACAAACTGTGGAAGGCAGTCTGACAGTACGTGTCAAAAGCCTTAAAAATAAAATAGTTCATCTACTTGGGCTCGATAAATTAATTTCCAAGAATTTATCTTTGGGAGATCAGCAGAGTTTCATGAAAATACTTATTTATAAAAATTCTCATTGCAGTGTTACTTATAATCATAAAAAATTCAAGCCAATTTTAATGCCCAGTAATAATGGTGACTATAATGGGGCATTAAAATGCATGGCCCCAAAGAACATTTAAGGATTTTTAAAAATCTGTGTTTCGTTCAGTGATAAAAGAAGGTCACAACACAATATGTGTTTAATTTTTAAAAATATGTATATGCATAGGCATAAAAATACTGGAAAAATATCTCCAGTTATGGGGATTATGAGTGATTTTGTTCTTTTCTTTTTTTACCCTTTCTGTATATTCTTAATGTTCAACAAATTCTGTGTATCATGTCCATAATGAGAAAAACTAAATATATTTTAACAATAGGGAACTGATTGCAACATATGGCCAAGACTATATTGAGAGGCATAGCGTGGTGATTAAGAGTATATGCTTTGAAGCTCACAGACAGGTGTTCCGTTCCCTCTTTACAACTTAAGAGCTGGATGACCTTGAGCAAGTTATTTAATTCTCTTAGCCTCAGTTCCCTTATCAGCAGAAAGGAGATAATACATACTGGGCAGAGCTGTTTTGTGGCTTAAATGAAATAATGTATGTAAAATTCTGATCAAAGAGTAAGTGCTTAGTAAAAGTACCTGCTTTTATAATGCCAAAATACAAATAGATCCAGTAATGGTTTACATGAATTCATGATTCCCTAGGGGGTTATAGCTGGAAGTTTGGAAAATCATTTATTTTATGGTTCAGCATCTTCCAGACTGTCATAATGATGCTGGAATCCAGCAGGAGGACGTTGCCCAAGAAAACTGACCTGGTTACAAAAGCAGCCTAGGAGAGGTTTTGCTCATTAGGGCAAAATGCTGGCATGGGTCATTTATTCACCTACTCGACCAAGCAGCAAATGGTTATTAAGCATCTACCGTGTGCCAGGCATTAGAGACTCAGCAGTGAGACAAACTAGCTGCCTTCTTGGAATGAGACAGACTTCTTGTAACTGGATTGAAGTTTCAAGACACATAGATCCTGTTGGATTCAGGAATTAGGAAACTAAGGAATATTGGAGACAGCTTGACAGGGTCAGAAAAAATGGCAGTGAAGCTCACTTTTGCATTCCTCTGTTACCAATCCTAAGGCAAGAGTCTGATTCTAGAATCCCAACCGCTGGGGGTGCCGTCATCTACTGATGTCCTCCCTGTGCTGGTCAGTTTAATTCCACATCAGCCTTGCTCAGTCTGCAAGATAAAAAGCCATTGACTATCCTGGAGAGGAGTTTGCAAACTATGGCCCATGGGTCAACACCAGCCAAGTGCCTTTTTTTTTTAAAATAAAGTTTTATTAGAATGCAGCCACATCCATTTGTTTATGAATTGTCTGTGGCTGTTTTTCTGCCACAAGCACAAAGCTGAGCAATTGCAACAGGTACTGTATGGCCCACAGAGCCTAAAGTATTCATTATCTGACTCTTTATACGAAAGCTTGGCCAACTGCTCTTCTAGGTCAACAGGGCTGGGGAAATGGGATGGAAGGTGACATCAGGTTCCTAACTTTTCCCTTCTGTAGTTCCAGGAGCTGTTCCCCTAGAATCCATTCAAGGAGGGCCCTTTGAGGAGAAGATCTACATCCAGTGGAAACCTCCCAATGAGACTAATGGAGTCATCACACTCTATGAGGTAAGAAGACCCTTTTGCTGTACCGCTTGGCTTGGCTTTATTCAGTTTACTTCAGCATGAAGTTGGTGAGTTCCTCCTGTGTGCAGAGCTCCATTGAGGGCATGAAGGTGAGTGAGAGACATAACTTACAGAGGTTTCTGACAATGTAGTGGGAAGGAAACACAAGGACATACAGCTGAGCTGCTTGATAGCCCCAGTGACAAAGAAAACTGGACATACCACACATTGAAGTGTTTACTGATCTCTTGAGAAAGGAGCCAGCACTCAGAGAGGCAGACTGTCCCAGCAGAGCCAAGAAAACCCCCACTTGGCAAACAGTAGTGACAGTTCAGTTTGTCTGGAAAACCACAGTGCTCACATGTTGCTCATCCTACACCTGTCGGTTTCTGGGCTTCCGGAATAATCCCAGTGTCATTCTCTACCCTGGGGCTGCATGATTCTTGAGCCTTAATATCGCTCTGTGACTACAGCATACTTTGTTGCTGCTTGGGTGATGGTGTCCGAAAGCCCCCTCCCAGCATTAGCAGGGCCTTATCAAGTCAGAGGTGGAGCAGAACCTCTTCCAGCAGGAAGGCACCCATCAAGCCAACACAACGTGGCTTCCTGAAAACTTTCAAATCTAGAACAAAGTGTGTAGAAGTCCATTGAAAAACAAACACAAACAATAAAACTTCAATAAGGCGGATGGAGCTGAATTCTAGTACTGAGATACAGTCAAGGTTGACTCTCCTCCCACCCCGCATATTCTGAGCCCCCCGGAGACTGTGCATGGGCTGCGGTGGAGAGCTCAGCAGTGCAGAGGTGCAGAGGGAAGAGTGGAAGCCAGAGCTGCAGGGATGGAGCCCAGCGTGCTGGCCGTGCCTCTACGGTCTCACGTGACTTCCTACAGTTCTTCCTCTCTCCAGGCCTGCTTCCTCCCCTGCAAAATGGGAGTGGAGATGGCTGCTTTAGGAGGGTTCCTCTAGAGGGTCTGAGGTGGGAAAGGTTCCAAGCATCCCCAGGCTGAAATGTACTGCAGACACTGAGGGCTCACGCAGGAAGTTCCTTAGAAGTATTGAGGTGTACTGAGAGTGAGCTGGGGAAGAATATCCCCACGTAAGGGAGGAAAGTTAAAGAGGATTGGTGAGGGAGAAATATTTAGGTGAATTTGATGGACACAAGAGCTCTCTAGAGAGACCTGGAAGGACCTCAGAGCTCTCCAAGAAAGGAGAACACCATCCATCATGTCCAGGTACTGAATAAAATGCCTTAGCTCACAACATCTATCAAAAGAAGAGCTGTCTAATGCTCCATCTTGGGACACGTGGTTTGGAGAAGCTTCCTTTCTGGGGAACCCACTAAAGGAGGGAGGGACCATATTGACCATGTCCAGGACATGTTCAGTAGTACGTCACTGGGGAAGAGAGGGACTGGATCCTTAACTGAAACAAAGCCCCATCATTCCAAAGCTACCTGTCATTCTTTGTGAAGCAGATGCTGCAATCACACACACACACACACACACACACACACACACACACACACACATGAAATAGACATCTACTGTGTGTGGCAACCTGTTCTTTGTAAAGCAGAGGGAAGGGACCCAGAACTTAGGGAGTTAAGTTGCTTGGTACTATTACGTAAATGGCTCTATATGCCAGATGTTCGCGATTTTGGGAATTCACAGGCCAGTAACATTTCAAAAGGTTTGGAGGACCGACATACAGTTCTTTACCATTTTTTATTAACATCATTTCATAAAAGACATCATTTCAAAAATACAGAAAGGACATAATTTAAGAATAAAAGGCAGTCCTTCAAATTGAATAAATTTAGCTTTATGAATAACTCATGAGTCTCCTTATTTTCTCTCTTTTTGCCTTGAATTGAGGACAAGTTTGTCCTGAAAAGGCCCTAGTCCTTGTGCCTAGCTGCACTTGGAAACCACTGGGCTGGGTCATGTGGCAGGTGGAGTCCTAGCCCTGCACAGACCGACTTCTGCCTTGGGAGCAGTATACTTCTTCCTCTAATGGGATGTACCCTGGGCTGGGTTGGGAAACCCACTCGTGCCATTCTATGAGGAGAAGAGAGGACTAGATGGAGAGAGAGCAAGGGAGCAAGCCCAGCTGTGAGGGGCATGCCCTGTTTGAGCAGCAGCTCCTTGAAGTTGAGGGCTCATTGTATGGCACACTCTCTGGAGCTCTGGGCACCAAGGTGGGCACAGATTAGGGGAGTGTTCCCTTCTTTTCACTTGTGTGTGAGCCCCGAACCTTGTGTGTTTTCAAAGACCAGTCATGGGGGATGCTGGCATTTCTGGGATGGGCTGTCCTGGACAGAGCTCTGGTAAGACACCTTCAGATAGATTTTTGGCTGCTCTCTGGGCTGTGATTACAGAGAGCCAGAGATGGAAGGCTGTAGCCGTGTGACTTGTTTGTGAGCTCAGGGGGGGGGGATCATCTTTTGGGAGTATGCTAAGCTTCTTGGATGTTGCTGTGAAAGGAGCCAGGGAGGTCGTGGGCTGAGGTCATTGTATTTTGAGCATAAATGTGGCTGTGACCATGAGCTTCACAAGCTAGTGGGGCCTCAGAAGGTAAGAATGCTGGCTTTTGAAGTCCAACAGCCTAGTTCTCAACCATAGCTCTACCACTTGCTTGCTGTGTAACCGTGGGCACATCAAGTAGCCTCCTGTTTAATGCTGTATTTGGCATTTAGAAATAGCATCAGTAAATGTTAGCTCTCACAGTACATGAAGATAAGGAAATTGAAACTCAGGTCAAGTGTGGAGACCAAGGTCATAGAGCTGAGGTGGCAAATTTTTGGGTCCTGAATTCAAGTGTGGTTGCCTTGCCCCTTACTCGGTGTGGTCCATGGACCGGCAGCATTGGCATTACCTGGGAACTGGTTAGAAACACAGCATCTGAGGCCCCACCAGACCTCCTAAATCAGAGTCTCCATGTTAGCAAGATTCCTGGGTGGTTCACATGGGCATGAAACTTGGATAAGCAGTGCTCTAGACCACACCACTCTTTAGAAAATTTCAGCAACTGATAAGAGACTCTCCGCCTAAGCAGAGAGATGGGGGGTCCCTTCCATGCTGGGCTCAACCCATTCCTGCCTCAGATCATAAGCAGGAGACCTTGCTTTTAAAGACATTTATAACAGAGTTATGTGTTTATGAGGCAATTTCCAAATTTAATTAGATGAAACCAATTTGATTTTTTAAAAATCAGGTTCTGGTTGTAATTTCTAGAGAAGAACCCATAAATTACAAATCACCCTCTTCTGGTCTCAAACAGTATATTTTGTGACAAAGAAAAATAGGATAACACAAATAGAAGAGAAATCTAGGATTCTCTCTACCTTCCTATATATAATCTTGGACTTGGCAAAGTCAAAAGCCAAGAAAAGGGGCAGTGGATGTAGTAAAGAAAGGGTTATGACTATGTGAATATTGTCCATATTATTCAGTGCAGTAGGTTCAAGTAAATTTAAAAAATTAAATTTCCTTCCCCATGAGTCTAAGTCACAATGTCTGGGTCTATCCTTGGACAGTTCTGCCAAATCTGAGTGGCTTTGATTATGTCTCATTCTGTCTCTGGGCTTAGTCCCCTCTTTGTAATATGAAGGTGCCAGATTATTCCAGGCTTCAACTGGGTAAGAATCAAGAGAAAAATAAATCCATGTCAAACCCATAAAATTAAAGGTTTATATCTCATTTTGGAGTTGCTCTGCTATTGAAACTTTGCCTGTGGCCAGAGTCTTTGAACACAAAGCAGTGGTGACACTTGAAGAAAAACAGCTAATGCAAAGGCCCTGGGGTAGGAATGACTTTGGCATGTTTAACAAATAGGAAGAAGGTCAGAGTGACTAAAGCTTCAGAGCATGGGTGATGATGATGAGACCGTGGGGGAAGTGTGTGGGCAGGGTCAGGTTGTGCAGGGATTCTAGAGTTTGTGCTTTATCCTTAGAGAAATAGAAAGCCCTAGGAGAATTTTAAGTAGAGGAATGAAAGAATCAGATTTATATTTTTTCAAAGATCGCTCGGCTTTTATGTGGCTAATGGACTGTGGGTACACAGGCATCTTGGAGACATCTGGAAAATGTGCCAGAGGCAAGGACATTTCCATTACCTATGATATTGCAATGAGGGCTCAGCTCTTTACTGGAAGATCTTGTACCCAGGTAGAAGATGCAAAAGCTTTGTCACATCTGCCTCTTTCCTGCTGCTAACTTGGTCTTTGATGCCTTTCTTTCAGTCAGGAGTTCTTATTTAGATGCACTCCCTGGAGCCATGGACCATGAGACCCTGGACCTCCCTTCCCTAAGGAACAGGAGTCTAGCCCTGTCCCTAATGCCCCTTTGAGGCTGTGAAACGGTCTAATTCTCCAGCAGTTATGACCTCTCTCCCTGCCCACCGAAGTGGGAGCTCATGGTGCTCATTGGAGCGCACCGAAGCCAGCCTCACCTTCACTATGACAGGAGGCATTAGGGTGAATTAGACTCTGGCCTGCAGATCCTTGGGGATTTGTACTTTAGTGGGACATACACAGTGCGCCTCTGTGATTGGTTTCCTAACAAAGTGACACATAGTGCCCAGGGTTGGGTAATGTCAGAGGCCTCATCTCCACAAACCAACAGATCAACATCAGACATGCAGAGTCTCAGGCCCCAGCCCAGACCCACTGAATCGGAGTCTGTGTTTTAACAAGCTCTCCCGATGATGCACGTACATATACAAGTGTGAGAAGCACTGGGCTAAGACATCTTACATGTTCACAGCTTGGACCCAGGAAGTTCTGCTTGATAAAAACACTGCAGGCCTTGAAGGAATAATCCTTCCATGTGGCCACTGAGTGAACGGAGTAATATCCCTGCTCACGTGGGACCCGAGGGCTGAATAGCTTCATCAGGGATGTGGACATCAAGCCATTTCCATAGACTCTTCCAGAGCCCTGCTTGGGTTTGAACGAGATAGCAGGGTTCCCCTATCCAGGCCCCCGGTTGGCGTGGTCTCTCCC